GAGAAGCTACATCTTATTTCTTTAAAATATGATCAACTTTTTAGCTTTTTTGTCTTAACAGTAGGAAAATTCAAAATCATCTCTGAGCACAAATATCCACTGAAAATCTGTGCTAGTTCAAACTGCACTGTGAACCAGGACCTATGTTCACCCATGTGTATTTTTAAAATGTCTAGTGTTCTCTTTTTCTTCTCACAGTAGTTTTATCTTTATGACAGTAGAAATCATGCTAAGACTCAATATAGAGGGAATGATGGGTTCTGCTCTCTTCAGCATTGTGATGGGTGATTTTGTAAGTTTAAAACAATAGAATGAAGTTTAAAGTGTTTTTGTTTTCTATCACTCCATCTCTTTAGTTTAGAAAGGAAAGTAGGAACGGAGACAGGAGGTATATTTTTAATAGGCAAAAAAGCAATTGCCCTTCTCAATCTGTGAAAATGTTCCATTCTTTCCCACATCGCATATTCAGTAAGTCTTCACTAGCCAGCCACCAAAAGTTAAACATCTTTTCAATTGGTTACAATTTCATATCTTTGAAAAGCTAGAATTCTCTTTCTCTGTTCATCTCTAGTTATTTTACAGAGAGGGATATGTGTGTGTGTGTGTGTGTGTGTGTGTGTGTGTGTGTGTGTACATATATGATAACTAAACTAGTCTTATCCTCCATATTTTATAAAATGCTGTTAAATTCAGGTGTATTTGTAACTAAATAAGGATTGTCTGACTAGAAGAGAAAATTTGATCTTTGTTCAGAATCAAGGCTTACTGCAATGATATTTATTTGTGCATTTTCCTTAAATAATAAATTAATTTGAGTCAAATACTATGCTTTTCACAGCTTGGAAAAATTTGATTTAGTGACTGAGCCACTGACCTGGTTAAAAAAAATCTATAGAAACATCTGGTGCTGTGAAATAAAAAACACTAATACAAGGAACACTTATTTTCCCCCAATGCCTGTAGTAAACCATATTTATTATTGCTATGTTAAATGATTATATGTCTTGAGTTTTTCTCTACCTTCCACCCCCAGGAAACCTAGAAATGGATGTATGCTAAACCATGCAGAGTCCGTCTGATTTATGACTTTGTTGCCAAAGCTGGATGAACATTCAGTAAAAATGCAGAATTTTCTGGGTGCCTTTAAAAAATATAAATATGTATTGTCTAAGTTCTCACTGTGCCACCCATATGCAAAAATTATTAATTATTTCTCTGCATACTTACTACAGTGTGGGAGGTGTAATCCAGCATACAGATAAGCTGAGTTTTTCCATAAGAAAGTTGTCTGTTTCTTTTTTATCTTTTTAAAAAAATTATTTCATCTTCATGTCTGTTTTTAGACCATTGATATCTGATAGTGAAAGCAAAACTGGAATGGAAAAGGAACATCTGTTTTGGGATTCCTATAACTAGTAATATGCACTGATAACATGTGCATAACATACCTTTGATATAGTAAGTCTGCATTTTGTAGTGTGTTAAAAACAAGGTAAAACTCATAATATTGCTTAAAGCTTATTATGAGCATAAATGTTAGGGAACAATGTAGCCTGTAAATTGGCAAATTAACCCTTGCCATGCCTGAATAGTCTATAAAACATCTTTAAATGGACAAAATGGATCAATGACTTTATTTTTTCTTTATGATAAATTTATGAGCTGGTACTCTATGTTAAATTTAGGACAAAATTTCAAAATGACAGAGTTTGGCCCAATGTACTATGAAGAGCTCTTAGAACCCCCTCTTATGTAGCAGATGAGGCTGTGTAAGCATTACAAATGAGCTTATAGAGATCTCTAGCTTAAATGAAAAAGTGCATCTCTGTTATTCTTGCAAACAAGTCTGGAAGTAAACAGAGTGAGGTAAGGGGTTATAAGAATTTCCAGGATTATGAATCATCTAAATGGACCAGGTAGTTAAGGGAATCTTCTTGAATATTTTTTAGACATAGCTTAAAAAATCTTACAAATGAGGATCTTAAGCATTCCTTAAACTTATTGATACATATGGAAATTCTTTATGCTTGAGAATCAAAATGTTATGTTTGGAAACCAAAGATGCCATTATACATTTAAACATCCATTTTATAAAATAGTACTTTGTTTCATTGTCCAGAGCATCTTGGGTATGCCCCTTAGAGAAAAAGAACATGAATGTGGCTGTACAGTGATCTCTTGATCCTTGGACAAAACTGAGGGAAAAGTCTAACAAATGCATCGTTTTGCAGTAAATTAGATCAGATTTCCGCATCTCCGCACTCAGTCTGTGAGCTGACAGTTCAGTAAAATGTTCCCTTGTAAGGTTCGCCCTCTTAGGAAAAGGGGCAATAATTCATCATTAGGATTTCAGAGTCCAGGTGTAGATGGAAACTGATGGAGCCTCCAGCGAGGCAGGGAAAGTGCATGGAAGAAGAAAATTTTATCTGAAGCCTAATTCCCTGGTTACAGCAGAGAATAATTAAGATAATATTGCTTCAAGAGTCCTTTAATGATTAAAAATCACATATGCAGAATCCATAAATTGGAGGGCAACAAATTGGAAGGCTCTAACAGCAGAGAACTGTTTTGTGCACATTGTAGTGGGAACTGTACTAGTGGCAGTGTGCCGTACGGGCAGCCACCAGAGACCTGGACCATTCCAAGGACTTTGTTTAGATGCAACAAATCATTTGTCTGTTATTAACCCAGAGCTTGTAATTATGCAGATTGCCATAGATTTTCCTGGGCCTGGAAGTGAGATTGAGGGTTGCTCACAGTACAGCAGGCAGCTCAGGGCTGGCCATGCATTACTGAACTTGCTGCATTTATCATGTTGACTGATGGTAGCAGAAGCAGGTCTCAGGTCCCAGTGGTTAATGTAGTGGGTAATTAACTGTCATTTGCCTAGTAATAGGCTGATGATCAATGGTTTGTGTGGAAACAAATTCTAATCAGGTAGCTGATGAATGCTCAGCTAGCGAGAGCAATTGAAATTGGGGGAAACTATGTCTAGAATTTCAAAATGGCATTGTGTGTGTATGTTTATTAGGTATGAGCAAACTGAGTAATTCGTAACAATGGCTTTATCTCATATTAACAGGAGCTTGTATCAGGGAATATATCTATATTCATGGAATAAAGAACTTTTAAGTTGTTCTTATTTCTCAAAAGTAATAAAGAACAGAAGATACAAATGGCACACATTAGTGACAACTCCTGAAAGCATCACGTGAATACACTAAAAAATATATGTGAAATATTAAAAAGAGCTACAATATTCTGCTTGGAAAAGAACAGGATAAAACCAGACATGGTGGCACATCCCTATAATCCCAGAACTCAGGAGATTGAGTCAAGAAGATCAAAAATTAAAAAACAGCCCATGCTACACAACTGAGACCCTGACTCAAAAAAATAAAAGTAAAAAAGAAAGGAATGAATGAGATGAAAGCTTTAGTTTGTGAAATTTCATTTTATACCAGTAGAAGATTTTCCAAGAAGTTCTTTTTAAAGAAAAATTATTTCTCAAGATATGGATTGCAACCGGAGAACTACAGATTATTTGAGTTCTATTCCTTAAGATAAGCACATTAGTTTTTAAACTTCTTTAAGGAATGTAAGTGTCTTAACAATTTTGAATTTAATCTGCTTTTGTATAAACCTTGCTTACTTTTTATCAAGTGGTCAGGTGATGCTAGTTAACTGTTCAAAAACATTCACAGCTTCAATCCTCAAGGTACCTACAGTTTTTCAAGAGATATTTCTAACAAAAACATGAATACAAGCATTTATTATATGTTTTTCCAGACACTTAGACACCACTCTCACAACTCTGTCCAACTGTTGTCATTATCCTGGGGAGAAGAAATAGTTACAAACTTGGAAATGAATATCCATGCCTTAAGCAAAGACTTATCTTTGGAGTATACAGAAAGTAATAAGAAGAGAAACTTCTGCACATTTGTGTGTAATCCTTAAATTCAATAAAATGAAAGGCTAAGATTTTTTAAAGTACATTTTTATAACCAAAATGAGCTTTCTCCATAGCACCTTTGAATTCATTAGTTTAGAACTGCTTTTAATTTGGTCTTTCCCATGAGAGCCATTATATTTTCTCCTGTCAGCCTGATGCTGGAGAAAAAAGAAAACTGGCAGATGTGTTTTTCATCTAGTTTGCTTCTTAGTTAAAAAGTGCATTAACTACCATGCACAAAACATTTTTTGGAATACTTTTTGCCTACCATTAACAACTTTAAAGAAACTTGGTTTAAATATTGTCGGTGCAAAAGATATTTTATTTCTTTCCATTATGAAATGATAAAACATTTTATTGTGTGCTATTTTCTAGATCATTACAGTAACTATTTTCAGGTACCCATAGCAAGTAGGATTTTTTTAAAAGATACCTTTTTCTCAGACATTCTTTCCTTCCACTCCTGTCTAGCCATGTATAGTTTCGCATCATTTACTTTAATGTGCTACCTGAAAAACATAATCATAGCTGTAACTATGGATAGGGCTACAAAGTGTGTGTACCTCTGTAGTTTTTGACTATTTAAATGGCTTGTTCATAAACATTCTTTTAATAATAATGGACAACCTTTTAGTAACTAGATGTCAAAGAATACTGAGTCACTCAAATGGGTTTCATTTCCAACTGAAATGCTTAATTTATAGCATTAAGCTCAAAGTTACATTGCTTTTGTATTTACTGTATACTCTAACAAGTGGAAGATTTTTGCAGTGCATTCACCCTGCTGGCTTCTGTTTGCTGTAGATATGTAAGCTTCCTAATGTACTTGCCTTTTCCTTCACTTTTCAAATGAGATGCGATTTTCATCAAGAGAGGTCAATGGATGATGCATTGCAGAAGAATATTTATGTATTCACCTCGGATAAAACTCAGTTGTGTGTACACCATGAGACATTGTGTATGGTAGCTTTACAGGGTATACTAGTGTTCTCTTCTAGTCATAATCTGAGATTTCCCTGAGTTAAAAAAATGTCCATTGTTCTAGGCTTTTTGGCGTAACAGGAAACTGTGCTGCGTGTAGTAAGCTCATCCCTGCCTTTGAGATGGTGATGCGTGCCAAGGACAACGTTTACCACCTGGACTGCTTTGCTTGTCAGCTTTGTAATCAGAGGTAAGCAGATTTCATTCTGGCTTCTCAAAACTGGTAAACCTCTCTGAGCTAGCTATTGACTTAATAAGTAGGAATGATCATGGCATACTTTGTGAAAGCAATTCATCTCAGTATTTGTGTTTTCTGCAAACATGCATTCAATGCTAGAAGCAAACCACTGAAGAGAGAAATCTTAAGACTAACTTAAAAGAAATGTATATGATGAGTGTGGAGACACTCCTATTACCTTTTAGACTTATTGTTCATTTTTCTCCTTATTGGTTTTTTTTTGTCTCTTAATAAGTTGGTTTAAAATATCTTTACTTTTTTGTGCAACTTCTGTGAACAAACAAATTGGGACAAGGAAAATGTGTAGGAATTGGTAGTGGGTATTTTGTTTTCATCTTATTTATTATAGTTATAGTGTTCCTATGTCTTGATTTCTTATCTTGAATTTTAACCTTCTTCTGTATGTACTTTACAAGCATGCTGAAATCTCTTTAAGGATGAAGCCAGATATAGCTAATAGCTAATCAATTATCAGCATTGGAGAGGTAGCACTGGAAAGAATATTGCACAGGGAATCTGGAAACCCAGATTCTAGTCTGGGCTCTACTACAAATTGACTGTGCAGTCTTAAGCCAACCACCTACCTCTCTGGACCTCAGTTTTCTCATTTGTCATGTAAGGAATCTATATTACTCAATTTTAGAACTCTTTTAAGTCAACAGTATGACAGCTTACTCCCACTTTTCCTTATTGAAAGTCATACTTTTATTATTGGTGGGACTATATACTACTGGCACCTGTTTCATGTGACAAATGCAAAGAATTCTGGAATATTAAAAATGTACATGTCAAAAATACAGTATTTTGAAAATTAGTATGCTTGATGATTTTTTTTCAGTTTTTTTCTTTTACTTTTATTATATTACTGTTGTACTGGGGGTGCATTGTGACATTTACAAAAGTTCTTACAATATATCACAGTTGAATTCATCCCCTCAATCATTTTCAATTGTAATGACAATAAAATGAGTATCTATGAGAACATATAGACATTATAAATTATCATAAAATACTTTTTCCATCAAATTCTTCACTCTTGTATTGTGCTCTTAAAGTTTCTGTTTGATGAAAAGTCTTCTTTTGAGGTCCAATTGAAAAGTAGAAAGAAAGTTGTTTTTGGTGAGGACTACATTCAATTTCTAGCCCCACCATATAATAGCTCACTGGTTAGTTGTATGATTTGGGGAATGTTACTTGATCTCTCAGAGTTTGGCTTCTATGTGAATAAGATGGAAAAGCTACTACTTGTCTTGGAAAGGCTCAAAATTAAATAAGTTAACTTGTATCAAGTACTAGGAACATGGTAGGATTTCAAAAGTTAGTTCTTCATTTATGATGTATCCAATTGTATCCTGGTAACTTGGTTTTTCTATAAGATGTGTATCTCAGTAGCATCTCTTGCTAAACATTTAGAGTGTGGCCCAATAAACCTTATGATATCACTTTTAACCAAATAATAACTTAAGAAGTCATCTTGCATTATACTTCTTTCCAACGAATGCTTCAAGTCAAGGATGATAATTCAGTCTAAGGTGACATTTAACCAAAAATAGTCAAATACATATATTGTTTGTTGTAAAAATATGAACACACAAACAAAAAATATTTATACTTCCAGTCATGTTTATATGCATGTAAACAACTAAGGTAGATATCTTAAAGTTGTATTTGTATTAACTTTAGAATACTTTTGTTTATTTACCATGCTACTTCACCAATAACAGCTGTCAACAACACACTTTTTCATAAAGTAGTAATTTTTACCACTGTTCAACTTTAAAAAGCTTACATACTTACAAGAGAAAATTTAGAAAATAGAAAATTAGGTAAAGAACAATATTGTCTTACTATTCTAAAAAATTATTTTAATATTTTAGTATGTAATTAGTCATAAGATATGACAAATTATATATAACAACTACTTTATATTATATCCACATTTAATCTTTAAAAATGTAAAGAAATCCAGATATGGTGGTGCATGTCTATAATTCCAGCACTCAGGAGACTGAGGCTTGAGGATCTTGAATAGAGGCCAGCCTTGGCTACATAGTGAGACCCTGTTTCAAATAAATAAATAAATAAATAAATAAATAAAAGGAAGTGACAGGGAAGAATTGTGGTACCTTGATGTTTCTTGTTTAAACTCTTTTAATCCAGATTATGTACCATTTCACCGGCCATTAAAAATTCTTTTAAGGTAGGCCCTGGTGGTTCATGTCTGCAATCCTAGGTACTTGAGAGACTGTGATAGGGAGAGCCAGCCCAGACAAATAATTCAAGAGACCCCATCTCCAAAATAATGAGAGCAAAATGTACTGAAGGTGTGATTCAAGCTGTAGAGCACCTGCTTTGCAAGCATGGAGCCCTTATTTCAAACCCCAGTCCTCAAAAAAAAAAAAAAAAAACTTTTAAGATTGTTTAAGCCATTTGTGTTGTTATATAGATAGAGCACCACATATGAAATCAGTCTCCTATCATCTGATATGTAGAATATTTTTTCAAAAGTTTTTTTTTAGCAATAAAATGTAGGCTCTATAAACAAATAACTACTCAGACCTGGATTGAGATAAATTCAAAGGAACATGATTAATTCAACAAAGAATGCAACAATTTAGAGGCTTTTGTTAAATATTGCTAATATGCTCTCCAGAAAAGTTATACCAATTATTCTCACACCAGAAATGTACAAAACGACTCATGCCTATCCATTTGTTCTAATACTGGGAATTATTATTTAAAAAGAAATTCTTGTCACCTTCAGGGATGAGACATGGTACCTCATTATAATTTTTAATTGATACTTATTTGATGACTAGTGGTACCACAGTATTTCTTCTTCCAGGGAAATGCCTATTTATGTCTTTTGTCTATTTTTCTATTAAGGCAGGCTTGCATGTTTTATCTATGTTCTACACAGAAAATGAAAACATCACTCAAGTGCTATGCTCAGCCTAAATTCTATTATGATGCAAAGTAATTGTAGGTGGTTAATGCTATTTACAAATCATATATCAATTTTATTTCACCATTGAAATAAAAAGTTGCATTCGCAATTAAGCCTATCTCCTCAGTGGAACTCAGTCAAGTAAGACAGACGCTCCTAAATTTTGACTCTGAAACTGCTCACATTCTTATTGCTGCAAAATACTTTTCTAGTATCATTATTAAAGTACCTAATATATTTCTGTGCTCGCTTCATTTATTACATGCCATAATGGGGCTGCATATCTTTAGTGCTGGTTCTGCACAATTAGCACTTAGTTATTGTCTTGTCACTTCAGCCCAACAAGACAAACTTCTTTAATGCAGGAAGTCAGCTAATCTTCATCGGTCAAGCAAAGCAGATGAATTTTGTTACCCTGAATACAGAAGGTTTTCTGTATAGGAAATTCTCCTTTTACTTTGGTGTTTGCTTAGGAAATTCCTCTAGTAAAACCATTTTTGGAAGCCTGTGCTTCCAGTAGCCAATCACTGTCAGTATCTACCCATTCACTTCAGCAAACTTCATTGACATCTGAAATGACAGAATTATGAATGTTTGTGAATTTTATTCAGCAGTCATTTTATCCTAACTTTTAATCAGAATATCACTAAGATCCCAAACATTTCCAACTGTTTAAAAAGTACAAATGATAATAACCTTTCAGACTGGGTGGTCTTTTGTACAGATCTTTGCCTTTTTTACACAGGTATGGCTAAAAATGTGAATGGTGGATTAAAAATATGAAAGTTTCTCTAGTTAAAAGGAGATCAGAGGAATGTTGTTTTCAGCCTTTTTTGTGGTACTGGGTTGTTGAACTCAGGGCTTCACACTTGCTAGGCAGGTGCTCTACCATTTGAGCCACTCCACCAGTACTTTTTGCTCTGGTCACTTTTGAGATGATAGGGTCTGGTTTTTTGCCTTGGCTGGCCTGGACTACAGTTCTCCTATTTATGCTTCCCCCAGTAGCTGAGATGACAGTTACATACCACTGAATCTTGCTTTTTGTTGAGATTGGGTCTTGCAAACTTTTTGCCTGGCTGGCCTCCTGATCTCTGCCTCCCAGGTAGCTAAGATTACAGGTGTGAGCCACCTGTGCCCAGCAAAAATGTCAAACATAATTTTTTTTTTTTTTTTTTTGGCAGTACTGGGTGGTTGAACTCAGGGACTCATGCTCGCTAGGCGGGTGCTCTCAGCCCTTTTATGATAAATTGAATCTCATTTAGAATTGGAAAAATCTGTATAATAGATTAATTTATTAAAGATGACTAAGTCCTTCCTTTTTAGAAAATTCAGTAGAAGTAAATAATGGTTTTTGTAACAAAAAGAAACACAAAAGACTGTTTGAAATGAAATCTCCCCAAATAATGTAGAAAACCATGGCATTCTCTTTTTAATTAAAGAGAAAGAACACTGGGCTAGGCTCTGTGGAAGTTGAGGTGAATAAAATCTACTTTCTTTCTTAGATGTATTCAGAGCTGTGGGGGAGACAACACATCAAAGACTTGCAGAAGAGAGTAATCAATGTTAAATAGATCTATACTGAGGGAAGAGAGATCTGTCCTTGAAGTTTAGGGAAGCATCAAAGGGCTAATGTGCTGGGTTTTCAGAAAGAACTTGCTAGAACTGGTTGGAATATAGGCAGTGTGTGTAGTGGGGCTCCTTCTTTTTAGAAAATCAGTAGAAGTAAATAATGGTTTTTGTAACAGAAAAGAAACACAAAGACTGTTTGAAATGAAATCTCCCAAATAATGTAGAAAACCATGGCATTCTCTTTTTAATTAAAGAGAAAGAACACTGGGCTAGGCTCTGTGGAAGTTGAGGTGAATAAAATCTACTTTCTTTCTTAGATGTATTCAGAGCTGTGGGGGAGACAAACACATCAAAGACCTTGCAGAAAGAGTAATCAATGTTAAATAGATTACATGAGGGAGGAGAGATCTGTCCTTGAAGTTTAGGGAAGCATCAA